GACTTCCTCTCTTTCTCTGAACCTTCATCTTTCCTAACATGAGGTCTTTTTCCAAGGACCAGCCCCTCCTAACAACACGCCTCAAAGCATGTGAGACAAAGTTTCACCATCCTTGTTTCTAAGGAACACTCTGGCTCCACTTCCTCTTAGACAGACTTGTGTATTGTTTTGGCGGTTCACAATTCAAAGACATCACTTCTCCTGTCATCATTATTCATTCTCCAACTTTCAGTTGCATGAGAAGCAATTGGAAATACCATAGCTTGAATCAGGCACACCTTAGTCTTTAAACTGACATCATTACTCTTTAGCACTGAGGCCAAGCCTAGTGTGAACATACTCTACTAGGGTGAAAAGTAATAGTGAGGAGGTGAAAGAAGTGAGGCAGGGATGGAGGGAGGACATTTGAGGTGTCTAAGACAGAACTGTCCACAGCTTTGCAAATCAATACAATTGGTTGCTGAGGCTCCTGGGTAGAGAAATCATATTGGTGCCAGAAAAGAGGATTGGCAAGCAACTTATATACTAATGCCTCCCATATCGTGTCTCCCATTGGCAAAAGTCTACATCATAAAACTCAAAGAGTGCTATCAGGCCTCTGGTAGCCACATGGGACACATGGGGATAGCCTCTGGGGATGTTGCCTGGCCAGTGTGCAGGGGGGACAAGCATCTTTCCTTGTCATTTGACTACTCTTTTGCTGGTAGCACTAACGGTGACTTTATGATCTTGGGACCGACCCCTGTGTCCAGGAAGCAAGGCAGGTACTGGAGGGGCGGGTAAGGCCTGCAGCCCTGGGGCAGCACATTAACTAGGTCTGGTTGATCAAAACCAGTACTGCCACTTCCACAGTGACACCAGTCTCAGAAGAAGGTTCGGTAGGGACAGAGAAGGTCAGCAGGCACAGTCTCTGTTCCCTTCACTCATGCCTGGAATTATTTTGAATAAGGAATTTTCATCACAGAATGGAATTTAAGTTGAAATAGGAAAGCTGGAATATTCAGGAAAATTCTGATCATAGCAAACCAGCCATTGGAAACTTCATGTATTAGTTATCTGTCCATTGCTGTGTAGCAAAATATCACACGTAGTGGCTTAACCCGCACACACCTGGTCTCACAGTTCTGTGGGCCTGGGGTCAGTGTCCTCTCAGTTGATTATCTGCTGCAGGGCTGTGGCCTTATCTGTGGCTCAGCTGGAGAAAGAGCAGCTTCCACACTCACTTGAGGGTTGGCAGAGGTCAGTTTTTCCTGGCTGTAGGACTGAAGCTTCAGTTCCCTGCTGGCTGTTGTCTGGAAGGCAGCCTCATCAACTAGGTAGGGGTTGATCACCTGCTACTTGAGAGTCCAGCACAATGAGATCTATAGTACATGCAATCACGTACACACACGTACATGTACACATGTCATGACTGTGTGTCAACTTTGCTACGTTCTGTGTGAATAGGAGGAAGTCATTCTCCAGGGGAGGGGAACACATAGCACCCTCAATATCAGGAGGCGAATCACGGGGATTATTTAAGGGACTGTCTGCCACATCCATTGTTACTAGAACTCTACTTTGGTGCGTCCCTGGGTGGCAACTACTAACCTAAAATTTGGCAGTTCAAACCCACCCAATGGTACGGTGGAAGACCAGTCTTGGAGATAATGCTTTCATACAAGTAAGAGCCAAGGATATCCCCTGGATCAGTTCCACTGTCACATGTGTGGCATGTGAGTCAGCATGTACTTAACAATAGTGGGCTTTTTTGTTTGTCTTATTCTACTTATAGGTAAAAGTAGCAAGTAAGTAAAATAAAATAAAAAGAAAGTAAAATTTTAAAAATAAGTAAATCACATGCTTGTATCAGGAATTAAAGAATTGGTCTTTGTTCGTTTTTTTGTAAAACGAGTGAACCTACAGCACACGTAGGCAGCCCAGGGTCAAGCCCACTCTCTCCACCAGCTTGTTCTGTGTCAGGCAGGGAAATGGGCTCAGTCAGCAGAGAAAGGGGCAGAGCCTCATCCAGTGCTCAGTATTTAAAATATTCCAACATGAAAAAGAAAACCTTTCTGCTTAAATATCAGCCAACAAGAACAGAAAATCCTCCATTCCTAAAATGTCCACCGTGTGAGCCTGTTTGGAAAAGCTGAAGCGGTGATTTCCAATCTCAGGCAAGGACCATGCACTATGGAATGAGCAACTGTGGGGGGAGAGACCCTCACTGGGGCTCATATTAGGGAGGTCGCAGCCCCCAATGCAGCCCTAGGAGGCTCAGCCCCTGGCTGCTCCCCCCCCCCCGCCCGGTGCACCAGCCTCACGTAGGCCCAGCCACTGTGTCAAGATGTAATTGACGGACTGCTTGGCCAGTCTAGGCTCGACTGAGCCCATCAGGGCAGGAACAATGAGGGCGCCTTGGAGGCGGAAGGCTATTTCTATGGCTCATGGTTGATGGACCGCACTGTGATTATCACTTTAATTGCAAGGGCCACCACGACCTTATATTCAGGGTGCAGATTTCAGAGACCACAAAGCACTTTGCTGGCTTGGAAAGGGACCCCAGAACAGTATGTTCTGTGACTGGAGTCTTAAGACCAGAACTCGGCCACGGTGTCATCTCTCTTCTTGGCCTCCCAGTTGCAGTTAAATTCTCCTAGAAAGGGAAATCCAGTCTCTCCTCCTCTGAGACCCTTCCCCAGTCCATATTCATTCCTGTCCTCATGACCACTCCCTCCTTGGCTCTACTCATGCCTGTTGGCTCACCTGCCTATATAGAATTCACCACTTGTACCTCTGATGAGACTTGACAGCACATCAACAACAGCCTCTGATTGGGGGGGGGGGCAAGGAAGAAAAAAAACCCCACATGCAAAATTCCAACATCTCTTTTATCCCCCCCTGTGAATTGGAACCAACTTACAGTGACTCTCCAGTGGGTTGTCAGAGGCTGTAAATCGCGCAGGAGATTGCCCGTCTTACTCCTTCACACATCTCTTCTAGTGGTGTTAAAGACCCCTCATGCCACACACTGTCCTTCATTCCCACTGGGACACTAGGTTTCTGAAGAACAAATACCCCTGTTCCCTCATTCCTTTCCTGGCAGAATTCTTTGCACATTGTAGATACTCAAAGTGTCTCCTCAGACAAATCTAAACTTTGCCGAGAAGAATGCTTACAAGTTTCTCCATTTCTTCTTTTTTTTTGAGGGTAAAACAATAAGATTCCTATAAATCCCTTGCATTTTTTACATGCTAAAAGATACAAGATACATGCTTAATAAAAATCCCTGAGCCAAATGCCTTGCCTGTTCCCATTCACAGTGCCCAATGTGCTAGAGTAGAATGGCTCCATGGGCTTTTGTTGGCTGTGTTTTTACAGATGCAGATCACCTGGTCTTTCTTCTGCAGTGCTTTTGGATGACTTTAGGTTAGTCACGGTTAATAGTTAAGTGTGAGGGGCCATAAATGTTTCATTAATATGCGTGGGCTATGATCGCCTTGGAAAAGGTGCAGCCAGAGTGCTCTTTGGAGGCAAAGATGGCAAAGCTTCATCTTCCACACTTTGGACGTGTAGCTAGGTGAGGCTAGTCCCCAAAAAGGCCCGTCGTGCTTGGAAAGACAGAGGGGGGCAGTGAGGGAGAGGAAGAGCCTGAACAAGATGCATTGACGTGATCACTTCAGCAGGGAGCTCTAGTGTGTCAGAGATGATGAGGACAGCACAGGATAGGGCAGAGTTCAGGTTGACTGTTCATAGATGGCCATTAGGAGTTGTTCTCGACTCAGTGGCACGTAACACCAACAAGCTGTGATCACGCTTTAGAGGACAGCATTGCTTCTGACCTGGGGTTCATGGTGTAACCCAGTGGCCAAAGCCAAAACAAGCCAGCTCTTCTCAAGGACTTTTTTTATTCCAGTTGAGTTGAGATATGTTGTTTTCTGTGTCATCAAATGACCTGCATCTCATAGTGACCCTATGAACAGCAGCCCAGATCCCGTATGTTAAGGCATTGTTGCTATGTGCTGTTGAGTTGGAAGTGATTCGTGGCTGACCTTCCAGCAGGTTTTCAGGGGCAGAAATTTTCAAAGGAGGAGATTGACTATCCTTTACCTGTAGAGCAGCTAGTAGACTGGAAGGACGTGCCTTTAGTAAAAGATCTCTGGGGCTTACAGCTGCGTGCCGCTACTTCAGTCAGGGGTTCCATCCTGCTAGAATCAGGAGATCCTTCACCCTGTTTGTGTCCTCATGCGCTCTCTGCCATGTTACTGAGCAGATCCCCGGAAAATGCCCCCTTTCCTCACACGGGCCAGTCCAGGAGCCACCTTCCAAAATGGGTTTAATCTTCAGTTGCAGCTCTATTGAGGAGCAAATCCAAAGTCAGAACAGACTTTCTCAGCAGGGAGCTGGGCTTGGCATTTATCCAGGGGGGGTCCCACTTTGCTCCAAGACTGTAAGACGTAGTTGGGTTGCAACAAAACCATTTGGGTGATCCTGCAATTTGACAGTGCACTAGGAAGGCTGGTAAGTCAAAAGTTTTACTTTTTTTTTTTTTAATCTATTGGGTTCTGCTCTCATTGCCTCATAGGTGGATGGGACAGGTAGAGCGGGTGATGATATGAGCTGCAGAGCATCAGGGACTTCACTGAGGAGGGACAGTCCCCTACCTGTCTTCTGTTCTCCCCCTGGGTGGCCAAGTGTCAGGAGGGATAGTGTCATAACCATCCTGTGTCCCCAGCTTGGGCAGCAGGGCATCAGGGACTTCACTGATGGAGAGACAACGTCCTATCCAGCTTTTTGTCCCCAGCACCCAGCACAGTTCACATGGTGCCTGGTGAGCAATGACATGAGTGGATTTAGCTCAGAGATGGGATTAGGACCATGATATCCTGGGGTAGATTTTACTTATCCTTCCTAGGTGCCTGAGACAATGAGGGAAGCCCCACCTCCCTACCTGTCTGCCCTCAGGTCCCCTCACCTCTCCCTGCAGATCGCCTCAGCAGCCTCCTCCCCTTTGCTTGCAGAACTACTTTGAGAGCTACTTCGCGGTTGCCTCCACTGTGCCCTCCGTCCTCTGCCTCATGGCCAACTTCGTGCTTGTCAACAGGTACGTAGCTTTCTCCCCTTTCAAGCCCCCAGCTTTTGCCTCTGGTCCTCCTCACTCCTTTTTGACCCACAGCTGGTTGTTCTTCCTCTCCAGTTTGCATAATAGTGGCTGACTTAAGTATGAGACAGGTCACGTCACTCTCCTGGAGCCTTGTTGGTGGAACCCCCAGGGGTTAACTATGTCCTGTCAGTAGCCAGTGGGAAGTTTTGGGGCCACACAGTTCTTCTTGGCTGCTTCTCTCAGGGGACCATTGGCCTTACAGCCAAAGGACATCATGTTGATGAGAAGTGCTGTGGAAGCTGGCCTTCCATGTGTTCCTGAGAGTTAAAAACTAAGAACCCGGGATTCCAGCTCTAGCTGTCATCATGTGTGGATGGGATGAAGTGCTCAGTGCTAAGCAGATGTGCTGGCCATTCACTAAAGAGGTCCGTGTGTACTTCTGAGGTAATGTTGGTGAATGCTCTTAGACTAGAGGATGGCTGAACTTTGTCTCATGGCTCCAGACATGTCATCTGGAGGAACCAGTCTGTGGAGAATAATGTCCTATTATGGGCGTCTGCTGGGGGTTCAGGAGGAGAGAGGCTCCCCTCGTTGTGCTTGTGTGCTAGCTCTGAATAGACCAGCCTTTTTGCACCTGTGCTATGGGGCAATGGCAGTTATCTACTGCGGCATAAAAAAACACCCCAAATGATGGTGGCTTCAATTGGTGGTAATGACGAGTGTCGCCTGCAGCTCGAGCTTGTTGTGTGTCACACAGTTCTTGTCTGACAGCAGCTGGGCCTGGAGCAGCCAGGCTCCGGGCCCCTGCCTGTCTTCTCAGTCGCTTCCGGGTCAGTGTCCCAGGACTTCTTATGTTGGGACCATAGTATCCAAGAGTAAATGCACCAAGATAGCGAGATGGAAGTTGTTGGCTTTTATAACTACGTCTTGGAAAGGAAGCTCTGGTGAAGTAGTCCATGTGGGCTTACGATGCTAAACCAAAGGTTCAAATCTACCAGCAGCTGCAAGGAAGAAGACGGGCAGCCTCGGAAACTGAGTGGAGGGCGAGCTATGAATTGTTTCTGACTCAATGACAATCAAGTGAAAGAGAGTCTTGGAGGTCACAGACTAGTGCCTCTGCCATATGCGATTGGTCTGTGGGGTCACGCAGCCCTGCCCCTCCAGGGAAGGAGCTGGAAAGATGGCGCTCAGTCACCTGAAGGCTTTGCAGCTTCTCTAACAAGCTGCTGGCCTCTTCATTTGCACCTTGCTTGGGGCACAGGGCCCCAGTCACTGTCCTGCAGGTGGGGTGCGGCCTCCAGAGACCCCTCCCGAGAAGAAGCAGAGAAGTGCCACTGGGGGCTGGGGATGGTGTTTCTTCAGTCAGTGCCACGAGTCCCTGGAGGACGGTTGTGCCACTGCTGGCAGAAGAGTAGGAGAGACAGGATGCAAGAGGAGGGGACCAAGGGAGAAAGAGGTGACGGAGCTGTGACAGTGAGGAAACCCTTGGCCTCTCTTCCCGGGGCCTCTCATGATGCCCTCTGTCCACTCCCTCATCTGACCTGGGAGTGGGGGCATTTTCCAGCCAGGACCAACCCCACTCATACAAAACAACCTGTGAAACCGACTGCTATCAAGCCAAGTCTGGCTCAGGTCCTGTAGGACAGGGTAGAACCACACCATGGGCTTCCAAGGCTGTAGTAACGTTAGAGGAGCAGACCGCCCCATCTCTGTCCTGTTGGGTGGCCGGTGAGCTGGAACCACCCACCTTTCTGTTAGCAGTGAATCTTATTCCCCATGCCAACCGAGTGCCTCAGATTCGCCCGCCTCTGTCTCTTTCCAGGCTGTGGAAAGATGTCTGGGGCTAAGCGGGGTAGTTTCCCCCCTTCTTCTCTTTTAAAGTTTTTTTTTTTTTAATTATTATTATTTAATCTGTGAGATTGAAACATCTCCTTCTCTCTACTCCCCTGGAGAACTCTGGCCTTCCCTGACTGGCTCATCCATAATCGCCAAGTGTTTTATTATGTTAAATCGGCAGCATCATAAATACTGATGAGCTGGATTTACATTTCGGAGACTTATAAAGAAATCAGTCCCCCAGGGTCCTGAGTCCTCACCAGCCAGGGAGGGAATCTGGCACCTGGGGACAGCTGGCAGCCTCTTCAAGTCTCCCTGATAGATCTTTCCCAGGCCCTAGAGCTATCTCAGCCATCCCCCCCACCCCCACCCCTGAGAGCCACTGAAATGGAGACAAGACTTGTCTGGACTTGCCCTGTGTCCCAACAGTGTCAGCATCCCCTGGGCCCCAGCCTTGTCCAGAGTGGAAGCAGCGAAGGCAGAGCCAGCATGTCCCCGTGAGCATGTCTCCTCAGGTTGTGTGAACGTTGAAAATCGGCCTGGGCAAGATCCCTGAAGGTCCGTGGGATCCCTGGGACAAGGCTGTGCACAGGAGTGGTTTATGCAGCAGGTAGTAGGAAGGAGTCCCGTGCAGATGGACTGTAGGCAGGGGCAGCGGTAGCCGTCCAAACACATTGCTTCTGTAATGTGTTAGGTGTTTGCATCCTCGTTGCCCACTCTCCCCTCCTTTCCCACCCCGGGGCTGCCTGGGTAAGAAGTCCCCCAGCTCTCTTCAGAGCCACCTTCTTGTTCAAGCAATTAATTACCTTGTACTGACAAGCTTGGGAGTGCTTCTGTGACGCCAGCAGCATTTCTGGGTGGACTTTTTTCTATGCTGGTTTCATGAGGAGGAGGTTACAAGCAGAGGCCCGATTCAGTGTGGGCTAGAAACACAGACTCCCTGTGATGCAGGGGCAGGGGAGGCTCGAAGCAGAGGTGCTTGACCCTACCATACAAGGTGCTCCTCCTAACCCCTGCTCATATCCCTTGCTTTTCAGTGTGTGCATCCAACAACTATTGTCCTGCCAGGCCCCGGCCCTAGGGTGCAGGTCCTAGCCTTAGCTAATGTGCAGGTCCCGGCCCTGGTGTGCAGGCTTCTGCCCTGGTGTACAGACCCCGGCCCTGGTGTACAGACCCCGACCCTGGTGTGCAGGCTTCTGCCCTGGTATACAGACCCCGACCCTGGTGTGCAGGCCCCGGCCCTGGTGTGCAGGCTTTGGCCCTGGGTACAGGCTTCGGCCCTGGGTGCAGGCCCTGGCCCTGGTGTGCAGGTCCCGACCCTGGTGTGCAGACCCTGGCCCTGGTGTGCAGGCCCCGGCCCTGGTGTGCAGGCTTCAACCCTGGTGTGCAGACCCCTGCCCAGGTGTGCAGGCCCTACCTTTAAGGCACTGATTCTATCCCTTAGTCTGTCCTTTTTCTCCTTCTTCCCTCACAAACTGGCCACAACTCTGGAATTTGACCCCAACCTATTCCTACACTTGAATTTTTTCAGATTTAGAATCATAAGCTGGATGCAACTTTATGTTGTTCAGTCTTTTCTCCATAAAAAATGAGCAAACTGAGACCCAGAGAGGTTGAACACTTGCCTGGAGTCACACAGCAAGTTAGTGACAGAACTGAGCAGGACTCTGATGGGCTGACCCAGCCTCTGTCCCTGAAGACAGGGATTTTAGTGTGAGTTACCCATTTGGAAGGCAAAGGGAAATAATGAGGAAGTAAGGCAGGTAAAGGAAGATGGCTGATAAAGGTTGCCTTATCAAGCCAGCTCCCACAGAAGCCCTCCAGAACCCCATACTGGGCAATTCTGGGAACTGGTGTAGAGTGCATGCCCTGGGCAGTCCACCCACGTGCTGACGGAGCTGGCGTTTCCTCACTCCTTCCCCACATCGTTGTTGAAGGTGTTCATTGTCTGCCACTTTCAGTCCAATTTATAGACAGTGGCTCCTGATATGCTAAGAGTGAGGACATATGGACAGAGAGCACTGTTGGCTCTGCTGTGATTTATGACCACGTCACTCCTCAGCTTGAAACCTCGTGTGCCCCTTGGGATCCGTGGGCACTCCTGACAACAAATGACATCTCTGCCAGTTGTCACTGGGTCACACTCATGTTGTTGTTGTTATACATCTTCGAGTTGTCCCTACTCATAGCTGACCCTCCACCGTATTTCCAAGGCTGTAGTTTGCATGGGAGGAGATTGCCCATCTTTCTCCCATGGAGCAGCTGGTGGGTTTGAACCGCAGCTCTCCATATATGTCAGAGTAGAACTATGCATCTTAGGGCTTCCGGTGGCTGATTTCTCTGTAGACTCCTGGCCCTTTCTTCCAAGACACCCCTGCATAGGCTCCAGCCTCTACCTTTATGGCTAGAACCGAAACATGCTATACCACCAAGGAACAAATCATAGAGATACAAACTTGGATTTAGTCATTCTCTAAATAGAAAATTTATTTGATCTATCTTCAGGCACAGTTGGATCTAGGGGATTGCAAGCATCAACAGGGTATGTGTGCCTCTGCTTGGCTCTTCTGTAGAGAGTCTCTCACCGTGTCATCACAGCAAGAGTGTTTGTCTTTTCAGTTTATACACGCTAGTCCCAGGGAAGACTAATTGGTCCTGCTTGGATCATATACTAATCGCTAAATCAGTTCCTGCTGGCCAGAAGCCTGAGACTTTAATCACCACGGATTAGGTGATGTAGCTGACAATCTCTTTAGGATTTGGTCCTGAGAAAGGAGAGGCCTCCCAGGAGAGGGCTGCTGGTAGACCACAACAGCCATTCACTCCATATCCCATGGTTAGGTTATATTTATTAAGCCAGACAAGGCCTTACAGGACAAGGTTGGTGTCTCCAGGTCCTCGCTACACTCCAGAGCCAGTTCTTGGCTCTCATGTTGACATGACCATGTCATCCTCTCCCTCAAACTGGTTTCTTTCAGTTCAACCCCCTGCTGAGAAATTGCTTTTCTGCCCCAGATATAGTGAATCAGTCTACATTTTAACAAGATCCCCAAGTGATTCTCAAATGTAGATTTTAATTCAGTATATCTTGGGGTAGAAATGCAAATTCCAGTAGGCTGTTGAATTAGCTCAAGACCCTGGCACACACATACAGACTTATCTCCCCTTCATCTCTTGTGCTTTAGCTTAGATTTTCCTCCAGAAACCCTTCCATGACCCTGGTGAGGGTTTTCTGTCCTTGAACGTGCCCCTGAAGCATGCTAGCTCACCTAGGCAGCACTCACTTCCATCTAGAACGAAATGACCTGTTTCCGGTCAGTGTCTCCCTGCTCTGTCTTGTTACACAGGCATCTAGCACAGTAGTTGGCACAGCACCCCAACAGTGGCTCAGTGAATCCTCGCTGAGTGAGCCTCCAGAGAGGACGCCCTTGAGCAGCCTGCGTGCAGAGTCTGGGTGTCAGTGGATCTGGGTTCTCATCCCGGCTCCATGCAGACGCCTTGAAATCCCCCTTCGCTTCCAGGCCTTCTTCTTCCCCCTTCCAACGTGGAAGCCACACCTGCTGAGGATCAGAAGGAAACTCGGCAGCCTGTGGCCACAAGGCAGTTTGAGGGTGTCCTTTGTGACTTTTCATATTCATCATTTCAAACCTATTTATGTACACACCTATCTTTCCTGCCTTTCAAGTTAATCTTTCACTTTTTTTATCCTCAATTTTTGGGTATATCTAATCTGACTTTCACCCAGCCCCCACCCCGTGGTTCACAGAAAAATTAACTAAACCTCCAATCGGGTTTGAAGCTTAGTCTAATCTGATGATTTAAACAGGCCTTGTTGAAGATGTTCTCGCTTCCTAGAATAAAAATGTGCAGTTTGCTGGAGAAACTCCTGAGCGAAGGCCTCCCTTCAGCACTTCTGTCCCTAGGGCTGTGTCTGGGTGATAGAGATGGGAGAAGTGTGTGGGTGACATGCAGACATCATGTTGGGGGGCAAGGAAGGGAGGCTCTTGCCCTGGAGGGCACTGAATGTGGTACCAGCTGCTGTCCAGGTAATCTGAGATCAACCCAGATGAACTCTCCTGGCCTGGTGGGACCCTTGTCCCATGAGACCTCTGTGCTACCATGCATGTCCATCCGAGAGCACACCCTGGAACAGACCTCCTTCAGCCAGACTTCAACTCTGCTATTTACCAGCCAAGTTCATTAACCTCTGACATCTCAGTTTTCTTGTCTGTGTGACACAGATTTGTAGAAGTCCCATTCTTCCAGAGCTGGCGTGAGGAGTGAGGGAGTGAGTGAGCATATAGCAGACATTTGAACTGTGCTTCGGGCCAGTCAGGTGCTATGTGAACGTTTGCTTTGATGACATGGCTAAGCTCTTCCCTCTGCTGTACCCCACTGACAAGTTTTGGGGACAGAAGTGGTCATCAGAATGGGTGGTCACTGTGTTTATACACTAGGCAAGACGAGCAGGAGCTCAGCCCTGTGGCAGGAGGAGCAGAAATTGACGGCCCTCGTGTCCTGCCCTTGAACATCATGGCAAGATTGCCAGGCACCGTATTTCCTGAGCATTTGCCCTGAGCAGGCCCTGCTCTGCACTCACACAGCTCACTTCCTGATGGCCTTACAAGCACTCTGTGAGGTAGATTAATGCTTGTCTCAGTTACCTTGTTGTTGTCTGTGTACCATCGAGCCAGTACTGACCCATAGCTGACCCTTTAGCCAGTTTTCAGAGGCACTAAATCATACAGGACTTGATTGCCCATTTTTCTCCTGTGGAGCAGCTGGCAGATTCAAACCCCGTGCCTTTGGCTTGGTAGCACAATTGCTTTCCCCTCAGCCAACAGAGCTCCCAGTATAACAGAAATATCACAGTGCAGGTGGTTTCCACAAATATATTTTCTCTTCATTCGAGAGACCAGTCCTAATCCAGGACACTGGTTCTAGAATAAGTCTCTCCCTACCCTCTTCTCCTCCTCCTCCTCCTCCTTCTCCTCTCTCCCTCACCCTTTTCTCTGACTCTCTCTGTCTCTGTACCTATACCTATGTCTATGTCTACGTCTATGTCCACATATACATCTCTGTTTATCTCTCCATCTGTTGCTGACTCTCTCTGTCTCTGTCTCTCCCTGTCTCTCTCTCTCTTTCTCTGTCTCTCTCTGTCTCTCTCTCTCCCTCTGTCTCTCTCTCTCCTTCAGCTCTAGGGGAAGTACCTTGTATTTCCTCAGTTCTGGTTCTCAGTCCCTTGGGGATCTGCACGTGACTTGGCATCTGTCTCCCCATCTCTATTTCCTTGCTCTTTGTGTGTGTTTATATCTCAAAACAGATTAAAACACCCCCTATTAATGATGAGACATTAACATAGCAAAACCTAGCCCTAAATGGGACTATAACCAGAGATTTAGGGGTTGGGTCTGAGGGGACCTCTATCCACCTCCAAATCCTCACCCCAGGATTCCGGTCAGTGTCCGTGTTCTGACCTCCCTGGCCATCATGCTGACCATCTTCGTGATAATGACTGTGCTGGTGAAGGTGGACACCTCCTCCTGGACCCAGGGCTTCTTTGCTTTCACCCTGACCTGCATGGTGGTCATCAGCGGCACCTCCACCGTCTTCAGCAGCAGCATCTATGGCATGACTGGCTCCTTCCCCATGAGGAATTCCCAGGCGCTGCTATCAGGTAAGGGCCGGGTCCAGGGCTGGGCTGGGTGCCGTGGTATCTGAAGATTCTGGAGATTGGCCGTAGGTGAGCACATGGTGGCTGCTCCAGAGAAGGAAATGTGTGTGGGATGTGGGGACGTCCCTGCGTGGTGCACAGAGTTATAGCTGTCGCATGCTAAGTGAAGATCAAGGTTAAAGTCAGCTGAGAGGTTCCTTGGAAGAAAGGTCTGGTGACCTTCTAAAAATCATCTATTAAAAACCTTGTAGTTTACTCTGACAAACATGGTGTCTCAGCAACTGGGGGTGGTGTTAGGATGTATCCGTTATCTCTGGCTGTGTAACAAACTATCCTAAAACATTATGATCCATATCTAGATATTTATGTCTGTCTGTCTGTCTATCTATCTGTCCTCAGGGAGAGGGATAGACAATCTCCTCCCATGTGATTAACAGCCTCTGAAAACTCTCCGTAGGATCAGCTATGGGTCTGACTCTACTGTAAACAACAAACACCATGCCTGTCTATCTGCATTTATCTATCTATATGGAGAGATATGAAAAGAACAGTTTAGGGAGGATGGGGCAGGGACAGCTCATGGTAGCAGCTGGGCTAGCTCAATAGAACCGGAAGCCCTCTGTCAGGAGGGCTTGCTGATGTTGCTGGCATGTTGGTGATGCCTGTTCACTGGGAGCTCATCTGGCCCTGAGCGGGGCCTGGAGCTTGGGTCCCTTCCTACATGGGCCTCACCTCACCAAGGCTGCTTGAGCTTCCTCGCTTCACGGCGCCTGGGTTCCAAGAGCGAGTCTCACAAGGCAAATCAGGCAGAAGCTTTGTTTCTTTAGCCACAGAAGCCATGGTGGTTCACTCTTGTGGTTGTAAACCTAGCTGATTTCTAGCATGGTGGAAATAGAGACACATCTTGGGTGAGGATTATAGAAGTCTCATTGTAACAGAATATATGGAAGGGGAGAGCGAATTGTGATCGTTTCTGGAAAAGACAGTCAGTGGTGCCTGAACCCAGCATTCCTTTCTTTCCTCGATCCCTTCTCCCCTTTTTTTCTTGTCTGTTTTCCTGTTCTTAGTCCTTGATTTTTCCTTTCCTTTTCTCTTACCCCTTCTTCTCTCCCTTCCTTCCTAATTTTGTAGAGGACCTCCCTGTGCTGAGGACTCACAGGTGGACAAGCCCCCGTCCTGTCAGGAGCTACTAGCCTGTAGTTCACTCCTCCGTCCCCTGGCGCTGCGCGTCTGGTGCACGGTAAACACCATGGGAGGGCCGGTGTGTGCTGGGGCTGTGTCTGGAGCTGGAGTTGGCTGTACTTGCATGTTGTCTGGACCTTAGCAGTCTCACTCGCTAAGCCAGCATAGAATCCAGACGAGCCAGCAAGATAAATAGGAGCCAGAACAGGGAGAATCTGGGTTTGCCAGGAGACCACAGTCCTTTAAAACCAGACTGGAGGCCCTGCTGCCCTGCTGTATAGGAGCCTGTGAGAATCTGCCCTGTGCCTGTGAACTACTGCCAGATAGTGTGTGTGACGGGCTTGACAAAGACCCCCAACAAATACACAGCCTCTCCCCACCACCACGCCAGTTCCAGACATCACTAATCCACTGTCAGCTTTCTTCTCAAACCTCTAACTTCTCTGCATAGCCCTGCAGGCAGTTACTTGCAACTGATCAGAGTTTAGATGAGAGCTTAAATCTGTTTGCCACCTTTGAAGTATGGCATTATCCTCCTGGCTCTATGTTGGGAAATACTTGAATCAAATAAAAGGGATTCATTGCTGTCTCCTGAACATAGACATGTGTCCCTGGCACTGCCCCGAGAAGGGCATCTCTGGCCTGACAGGCCACTAAGCATAGAATTGAATCTCTCTGCCATGTCTGGACTCAGAAAGTAGTTCTTAGCCTCTTAACAGCCTCCAACTTCCTAGAAGATGTATCTTTTCAAATATAATTTCAACCATTGACTGTGAACCATTGACATCACTATGTGAGGTCCCCCCTCCACCATGTGCACCCTCACCCATCTCCTGCCCAAGGGGCTCTGATCCCCAAGATGGCTTAGGCACCATTTTCCCAGCCTCCTGTTGATTTGGGGCTCAGTGCATTCTTGGTTCTGTGAATTCTGTGTGTGTTGGCATCCGAGGGAACAATCCATTTGTTTTGTATGGGTGTTTTTTAAAAAAACCCTCATTTGCATGTATTTCCATAACTGATGAGATAAAAGTAGGGAGTCTTGAAGGATGAGCTCCCCGGAGGCCTGGCTTGTTGTTGATGATAATATTGTAAATTCTGTACAAGTGGGAAAGTGAGAGAGGAAAATCAATAGGGAGTGATAGGAAGATAGTGTTCCTTGGGGCAGCCTGAGAATGTCTTCATGAGTTTAACCCTGTTCTGACAAAATGCTCAGGTGGGGATTACAGCTTCTCAGAAGTGGGTGTCCTCTCAGCAAAGGGCTTTCTACCTCGTGCTTGCTGCTTTGATGTGGGGAGGACAGAAAGAGTCAGATATCTAATTGGGAATCAGAGAGGATTTACATGACATTTCTCTGTGCCAGGGACTGTTCTGAGCACTTGACATAGGACAGATCTTTTTAATCCTCATAATAGCCCCAAGAGCTAGGTGTTATTAGCAGCCCCATTTTACATCTGAGGGAAGGGAGACACCGAGATGCTAGATGACTTGCTCAGTGTCACACAGCTAACCGTGAGTCTGGACTCGGGCTCTGGAGTCTGTGTTCTTATCACAGTGCTTATTGTTATGTCTTCGCTCTGCCCTCAGATCACAGCCTCCAACCACCTGGCTAAGAGAAGCATATACTGGGACAGTCGGGGTATAGAATAGGTCCATCAGGGCCACGAGCTGTTTCCTGCAAAGCTTCAGTGAGGTCAGCAGAGTGGGTGAGGCAGTGATGGTGGGCATCACGGTGGACCTGGTGCTGGGCACTCCACTTCTGCTCTATGCAGTGGTGTTGTTGTTATGTGCTATCACGTCAACTGGGATTCCCTAGTGACCCTATGAAAAGAAGATCTGAACTTTGACCTGTCTTGTGCCATCCTTACCATCTCTGCCTGCTTAAGCGGGGGAATAGTGGTACCAGGTCAAAGCTGCCTGGTGATGATGAGACAGTCCGTGCCCACACATGAACCAGAGGCCATTTCCATGCAGCCAGTATGTGGTCACCTGCTTGTCTCCTTGGGAAGGGATATCCTGATCATCTGTAGTGGCTGTTCATTCACTCAGCTGGTTAATCCAGCATCTTCCCGGGCACCACTGCATTCATGATAATAGCCCCGTCTTTGTGTCTTTGTGTGCAGCTCTTTGCCATCGTCCATTCCGTCTCCACCTCATGCTGTCACATTTTCCGGCAATCATCTGACATGGAGAGGAGTTCTCTGATCTGCCCACACATATGGTACTCTCCACACCAGTGCTACACCCAAGCCTTCTGACTGTTGGGCAGCACAGAGTATCAGGTTCAAAAGAAAAGACATGAGCTGGCCTCCTCCGAGCTACTGTGTGACTGTGGGAAGGAAGAGGACTGGCCCTTTCCCAGCGTCACCTCTCATTACACCTTCAAATCAGTTGTATATGGCAGGCATTATTACTCCCATTTTACAAATGAGTAAACTGTGGCTCAGAGAAGTCACATTAGCCCACAGGCCACAGAGCTAGCAAGTGGCAGAGCCACAAGTCAGATAGACATCTCCTTGCCGCTTGCACCCAAGACCCATGAAGCTCTGGCTCCTCCGTCAGGGAGCATTGAATGGGTGTGCCAGCCTCGTGGTCACAGGCTGCAGATGTTCAAGGCCTCGGCAAGACAGGATGCTCTATGGGGCAGGGCAGCTGGACGCACATGCAGGTGTGTGTATGTGCTCACGTGTGTGGGTTGCACTCACTGCCTCAGGATACAAAATAAATTCTGTGAGCTCATAGCTGGGGGACCAATCAGTGACACCCAGATATTAGCCTGGGAGGCAGCAAGAGAATCTTTGCTAGGAAGTTCTCTGAGCCTTTACTACTTTGCTTGGTGGGTGTTTGGGCCACAGGAAGCATCGAGCTCTCTGAGGTCTCTGACCCTGAGTGAACATTTGGACTTCTAGCAGGAGGGCAATAAAGAGATAGGGGTCAAGGGTCAGAGGTGAAACCAGAAAGCAGATGGAGTGGGGGCTCCAGGAGTTCAATTGCCACCTCAAGTGGCAGCCTTCGTACCATGTGCTTTGGAGAGGAGCCCAAGTCCCAGGGCTGGGGACGTCGAGGAACTGTCCCACTCAGATGCTCATGGCTACAGAACCCCTCCATGCTCACCAAGGTTTCAGGAGCTGAGGAAACTGTGAGGGAGTGTTTTCCTTTCATTTTTGTTAAGCCCTCCCATCCTTGCAGGGACAGGCCTGAGGTGCAGGGAAGAAGGACCCATAGTTTCACCTCTTCAGGCCTTCCCCACTGACCGCCTCTGGTCTCTGCAGGAGGTGCCATGGGCGGGACCATCAGCGCTGTGGCCTTGTTGGTGGACCTGGCTGTGTCCAACGATGTGACGGATAGTGCCCTGGCCTTCTTCCTGACTGCTGACGTCTTCCTCATGGTCTGCATCGGGCTGTACCTGCTACTGCCCAGGCTGGAGTACGCCAGGTGAGACCGCCCCGACTCTGTCCACTCCTCCTTAAGTACAGATGTATGCCACATGCTATATATTTCCATTCTTATGGCACCCGATTAGAGCATGTATCGGTTTTCTTGTGGGTTTTTGCCTGTTTCCCCCACGTGGGGTGATCTCTGTGTGGGCAGAAGGCTGTGTATGTTTGATTCACTGCTGTGTCCCCAGTGTGGCAGGGCCACTGAACATGAGACACTGATTCCCGCCACACACCATGCAGTCTACATGTTTTAGGAGAGGGAAGACAGGTGAAGGCGGGTTAATAATGAATGAAGTCCTCATTCCCTGACTACTCGCTCTGCTCCAGGCACATGTTATACCTCATTTAATACTCACTCAGCTCTGTTCCTCTCAGGCTATAGTATAGTTGTTATTATTATTCTTCCACCTCCCCCCCACTTGTCGGTTTGTCCTACTGTGGTGGCTTGCATGGTGTGATGCTGGAAGCTGTGTCACCATTATATCAGTAGGGTCACCCCTGGTGGACAGGTTTCAGCTGAGCTTCCAGACTAGAACCGACTAGGAAGAAAGGACTGGCAATCTGCTTCTCAAAAGTGTCTTCTTGTTATTAGATGCCTCCGACTCGGCATAACAGAACAAAATCCTGTCCCGTCCTGTGCCATCCTTATTATCTTTGTTATGCTTAAGGCCAGTATTGGAGGCACTGTGTCAGTCCGTCTTACTCAGGATCATCACCTTTTCCACTGACCCTCTAAACCTGATGACCTTCTCCAGACACTGGTCCCTCCTGAAAACATGACAGAAGTATGGGAGAGAAGTCTCAACACCGTCACTTCTAAGGAGGATTCTGGCTGCACTTATTTCAAGACATACTTCTTTGTTCTTTTGGCAGTCTGTGGCATGTTCAGTTCTTCTCCACCACCACAATTCAAAGGCATCAATTTTTGGTCTTAATTCTTTGCCCAGCTTTCACATACATGTGAAGCAGTTGGCCTTGAGTTACGCACGCCTTCAGTCTTTAATGTGAAATCTTTATTCTTTAGCAGTTTTGAGAAGTCTTTGGTGCAGATTCACCCACTGCAGCAGGTCTTTGATTTTCTGACTACTGCTTCCATGGGTGCTTGTTTGGGTGCAAGTAAAATGAAATCCTCGGCAGCGTCAGTTTTTCTCCATTTATCACAGTTAACACAGTTAATTTGTCTTTTTTTGTGAATATTTCTCTCTTCTTGATTTTGAGGTATAATCTATACTGAAGGCTCTTTGGGCTTCGTCAGTATGTACTTCAAGTTTGTTTTTCATTTTCTTCACCAAGGTTGTATCATCTTGATATTGCAAGGGTTTTGTTTGTTTGTTTGTTTTAATATCATAGGTTGTTATTGAGTCTTCCTCCAATACTAATGGCACATTCTTCTTCAGATAAATTCTTGTTCTGAAAGTTAGCAAAAAAAACCCCCTCATGGCTCACAACAGAATGTTATCTAACTCCCTTGCTTTGGATATGCTGTCAGGAGAGAGGACTCGCTGGAGGAGGATGTGCTTTGGGGGGGCATAGAGGGCCAGCAGTCGCGATGCCAACCCTTAGTGGGTAGACTGGCACAGTACCACAGTGATGGGCTTGCACGAGGCGGCAGCCGTGAAGATGCCACAGGGCCCGGCAGCGTTTCATTGTGCTGTACACAGGTCGCTGCGGGTCAGAGTTGACGCAACATCAGCAACATTATTATTCCCATCGACAAACGAGAAAAACAGACGCTAGAGAAATGAGAGCCCTGCCTGAAGCAGCAGCCAGATGTGCTGAATGGAGCAGCACTGGTTCTGAACTTGGACCCTGCCCTGTGCCTTTGATCACTGTACCACTTGCCTTTCTCTCTCTCTAGTGCCGCCTCCTTCTTATTTCCTGCTGTTCTTGGGGTGGGGGTGGGAGGATCATCCTCAGCTTCATCTCAGGTTTTACTCTTTTCCATGCGGTTTCATATTTATTATTGTATTTGATCCTCAGAGCAGCTCTATGATAGAGGAAAGACAAGTGTTACCCCCATTTTACAAGTGAGAAAAGGCAGTCAGAAAGCTAGTGATCCGTGGTCACATAGTGTGTGAGCCGGTGGCGTGGGGGATACTTCTAGCCCTGGCTCCTGCCTTTTCTTGCGAGAACCTCCTGTGCTAGGCAGGATTTGGCTCTCCCTCATGGAGTTGCTCTCGAGTCAACTCTGAATCCCAGTGACCTTGTGTATCATGGAAGGCGATGTCCCACGCCATCTTCACAATTGTTGGGGTGGCAATACAGCTCACTGAAGACTTCTTTGTTTCTGTTTTACCAACAATGATGCCCTTTTCTGACAGCTGTTATTTTCTGAGAAAGTTTCCAAAGTAAGAAATCGCAGTCTCACTCGCCTCCTTTGTAAGGATCATTCTGGTTTTATTTCCCATTATATAGAATATCCAGACAGGTCTGTTTCCGGTAGAAGGTAAACCGGTGGCGTAGCGGGTTATATGTTACACTAGTAACTGAATGGCTGGCAGTTCGAATCTACCAACTATTCCATAAGAGAAAGATGAGCAGTCTGGTCCTGTTATGATGCATAACCTCAGAAACCTGAGGGTTGAAGGGTTGCTGCGGGTTGGAGCCTGCTTGAGCAGTGGGCTTGGCGAGGTTTTGTTTCTGACAGAGTGGTCAGTTATCCTGATTTGACTTGGACTGAGGGAGTTTCTGGGACAGGGACCATTTAGTGCTAAAAGGCCAACCTCAGACCATCTGGGATGACTGTATTAATACGGGTTGCCCTAGTTTATAGTCTTGCTTGGGAACTGGTCTTACTCAAGCAGTCCAAAGTCCCTCTAGTCAAGCATGTGACAGAGATCACCCAAGGTTTTGCCATATTATGGAAGTTTCTGCTTCTTTGCTGATCAAGACTTTTGGATTATAGAACTTCATTTGAAGAGGAGCTTATAAAGAGACTTGTGCTCTTGGGGTGACTCAGACAAAAACTTGTTTTAGAAGGAACATACAGGTGCTGCCCCCAGAGGGCTGTGCTGGGAACTCTGTTCTGACCAGCAAGGACCAAGCCCAGTGCAATTCTGGGTGTTCACTGGACATCAGACATTGCCATTCCATGGCGAGCTAGAAGTCAAGGGTTAGATGAGGCAGAGAGGTCTGGAAGAACTTTAGAGTAAGAGTTTCAACCAGAGGAACTTGGTGAGGAGCTTGCTCTGAGCAGATTTAAGACAGAGACCTAATGCCGAGTAGAGGGGGAAGTAAGAATGTTCTGCTCCCTGGATAGTAATTGTGAAACAAAACCAGGGTCAGGCGCAAGCGCCTTGCTCAGCATCACATGGAAATGTTATTCTGCAGAAGAACCCCCTCCTCCCCGCCACTTGCTGTCATCTGTGTACTTTCAGGAAGGGAGGCTGAGAGAAACGTCTAGTGAACCTTCTCCATGGCTCCAATGCTCATGGCCTCATTTTGCAGAAGAGCAGTCTGAGGCCCAGAAAAGCGAGTGTCTAGCCCACGAGGACCCTGCTGTGAGGCAGAGCCCCACTCTTCTCAAACACTGTTCCCTCACCACACCCCAAGCCCTTCTCTTAGAGCTGTGTCAATGCGCTCAGCCCCAGACCTCCTGGATTTCAGACACCGGAGGCCTCAAAAGGTGCAGGGACTTAGACAGGGTCTCAAACAAAAGCCAAGTACCGGTCAAAGGAGCAGGTGTTGAAAGGATCGATGATACTCAGTGTCAAGAGGACAGGAGAATCATAGGTTACTTATTCTTTCAACAAATATGTTTTCAAGAAGTGTGTTTTCTGACCACCCCTGACCGTGTGCCTTCTCCCTGCAGGTACTACATGAGGCCCATCCGGCCAGCCCGGGGACTGCCCAGTGGTGAGGAGCAGCCCTGGGACTCCCCCAGGGCCTCAGTGTTGGACCCCAGCCCTCTTGGCTCCCACATGCCCCCTCTGCGCCCCATCCTGAAGGTGACGGCAGGCCTGGGCTTCTGTGTCATCTGTATCTTCTTCATCACCGGCCTCATCTTCCCTGCCATCTCCACCAACATCGAGTCCCTGGAAAAGGAGTCGGGATCATTATGGACCACCAAGTTCTTTGTCCCCCTCACCACCTTCCTCCTGTACAACTTTGCCGACCTCTGCGGCCGGCAGATCACAGCCTGGATCCAGGTACCAGGGCCCAAGAGTAAGCTGCTCCCAGGGCTGGTGCTCCTCCGGACCTGCTTCATCCCCCTGTTCATGTTTTGCAACTACCAGCCCCGTATGCACCTGAAGACAGTGGTCTTCACGTCTGACATCTACCCCATAGTCTTTACCTCCCTGCTGGGGCTCAGCAATGGTTACCTCAGTACCCTGGCTCTCATCTATGGGCCCAAGATCGTGTCCCGGGAACTGGCTGAGGCCACAGGAGTGGTCATGTCCTTCTACCTGAGTCTGGGTCTGCTGCTGGGCTCAGCCTGCTCTACGCTGCTGGTGCATCTCATCTAGGAGGATGCTGGGCCACGTGACGCCTTGGAGCCTCTGTGGTGAGGAAGGTCTGGGTGACATGGGTGAAGGCGGGAGCTCTCCTGGGTGCAGAAAGGAGAGCCCACTCGGACCTCTGTCCCCAAGAACGAATGGAGTAGATTGTCCCATGATATTCTCAGCACGTTACACTCCGAGATGCCAGAGCAGGACTAGTGAAGAGCCAGTCTCAGTGTGGGGATATCACCTTCCTAGCTCACCGCCAGCATCCCACCCTTCTTGATAGTCACCTGCTGGTTTCTAGCTCGTCTAAAAGGTGCTACTAGGGTGTTTGCTTGACTACTGAGTTGTTACAGAGCTGGTGCTAAAACCCAAGCCCAGACTTTTTGCTTTCCTCTTGCCTTCTTCCTTCCATCTGGCAGCAGAAGGGAAGAGAATCCTGTCTTCTTTACCAGGGGGAGTCCTCCTAAAATAGAGGCCCCCCGGGGATGGCCTCACCCATGCCCAAGATTCAAGTCTATGCAGACCCTGCCATGTTACAAATGGGAGACCACCAGCCAGAAAGACTGGAAAATCAAGAAAGAGGCTGTCCAGGAATCCTCCATCCCATAACCAGGGCCCCTGAGGGCCTGGTGCTCCGTGACACAGCATGCGGGTCATGTGGTCTATGGCCTGGATCGGGGTGGGGAGCTTTTACTGTTTGCCTGAACATGTCAAAGCTGTTTGTTCAAGGGTATAATAAATACCTGGGTATTTTATACAAACCTTTTTGGTGTCATTATTAATCAAGAATCAAGCATATTCCAGTCTGCCATTTGCGGACGCCTTAAAAGAGAGTAAGCACATTGGGATGCGCCGTCGTCCCCCGTCCCCCCATCATGCCCTCGCCTGGTGCTGCCTCCTCTTAGGCAGCCAGAGTGCTCCTTGGAGGCAAGGATGCCGAAGCTTTGTCTCATGTATTTTAAGCATGTTGTTAGGAGAGGTTATTCTTTGGAAAGAGACATTATTCTTGGAATAATATCATTATTGTCGGGTCAGCAAAGGAGAGGAAGACTCTCAACGAAATGGGTCGACACAGTGTCTGCAGCAATGCATTCAAGTGTGTCAGAGATGATCGTGTGGCACAGGACGGGCTAGGGTTCTGGTCTGTTGTTCATAGGGTAGCTATCAGCAGTGCTCGACTTAAAGGCACCTAATGACAACAAGAGAGGCTACAGGCAGCCCACGGTGCATTATACTCCAGAACTAGTTAATAGTCCTGACTGGGGGCAGGAGGAGTTGTTCTAGAACCCAGCCTGCAGATACCCTTCCCACGGGAGCTGGGACAGCAGGTCCACTCCTTCCCTCCATCTCCTCTGTGTCCTCTCTGACTGAGTCACAGCCAAGGCTCAGGTTGAGTTGTTCGAGATTGGACCTCGAAGGGCAGGAGGGAAAGGTCCCACCCAGCATCCCATCAAGCGAGCAGGACCTCAGAGCCCATTCACTATCGAAAGTCAATTTTTCAGAAAATCAAAACCACTAGAGCCCTGACACCGATTAGCAGAATGAGCAGTGGCTTTGTCCTGCTTTGCTTTGAGTAGTTCTGTGTTTTGATGCTGTTGCTACAAAGAACACATTTACAGTATCTGACGTGAATCATAATGTGTATATAGTGAGGCTGTTCCTGAGCCCCAGCTCTGAGGAAGCAGGCTGTGCTGGGAATCAGTGAGAGAAAGGAAGCCTGTTAGACCCAGAGAATTTCTCAAGAACCGCATGGAGAGCACAGTCTCGGCCTGAGTCTCTGCAGCTCCAGAGCACAGGCCAGGCTGTCCCTCTCTGGCGCCGGCTCAGTGGGGTCCTGCAGCAGCGACTGCAGAAACACTAATCCACCCAGCGGCGCGGCTTACACTCCCTGCTGTCTCAGTCTACTACACACCCCCTCTTTGGCCACAGAATTGAAGAGGACACCCTTGAGAGGTTTTCTGAAACTAGATACCTTAAGAAAACGGGGGAGAGGGGAATTCTCTTCCAGGAGCCTGAGATCTCCCCCAGCCCCCTGGCTTTTTCCACCCTGACATTAATGCGGGGGTTGATTTGGGGGATCCATCTGGCTGGCAATGCATCTTGGCCACTGGGCATTTTAGAAAACGGGCAGTATGGTACCAGCAGTCTGATCTGAGAGATGGGGTGGCCCTGGGACTTACTGGAGAGGAGTGAGGGGTCTGTTAAAAGGGGGGATGGCTTTCAGAAAAAGTAGGGGAGGGGGCACCCTGTTAGTGACATTATTTGAAATGAACATAGCATGCAGGGAAAAGGGGGTGTCAGGTGAGATGATGCACTGCTGAGGGGGTGCTGGTGAGAGGTAAACTAGATCAGCAGCTCCAGCTTCACTCCGGGGGCTGGTTGGCTGGGAGTGGGGTGAATGTGAGCCCCATCTTTACACACTAGACACCTTAGTGGGCGCTTAATAAAGGATCACTGCTTCCCAGGAGGGAGGGAGGACACACCAATGTCTTTGCAGGCAGAGTGGGCCATGGAGGGTCATGTTGAAGAGCACGTGGAGGGCCACATGGAAGGGCATGCAGAGGGGCATGTGGAGAGGCATGTTGAGGGGCACGTGGAGGGGCATGTGGAGGGGCACAGGCATCCCTGTGACAGCAGCTCCTAGAGTTTGGCTGCTGTGGCTCGAGTTTCCTACGCTCCCAGCAAGCTTTAGAAACAGCCACACACCTTGAACAGAACCTGCTAGAAAAGGTGATTTTCAAGACCCGCAGTCAGTGCGGGGAGTGGGGAATGGGTTGGAGGGCCCCTGAGAAGCTTCCTTCATCCAGTAATAATAGTTCTTTGATTGAACCCCAAGTGGCAATGTGCCCAGACCACCTGGATTTTCATTTTCCCAATTTCATTGAGTAAAGAAAGCCAGGGGCATTAGAGTAGGTGGCCTGAGTGACAGGTACTTTTAAGAAATGTTTGTTTGTGCATTCATGGGGATGTGAGGGGAGAGGACCCAGCAGGTATTATTACCAGACTTCATTCTTCTGTCATCTTCCCAGAACCCCAGGTACACGCCTTATGCCCCATGTGTAGATGCTCATACACAGTGAGGCCGAGTAACTTACTCAAGTCACTCAGCAACTAGCGGTTTATACAGGAATCAAACCCAGGTCTCCTGAACCCAGAGGTCACTGCACATACTGCTGTGTCGACTGAGCCCTCCCTCCCTCTTTTATTCTTGTCACCTGTCATGCCTATTCTCTACTCTGTGTTCTGGCTGCAGTCTTGTGTCAAATAAATGAAGATTTGGGGTACTGGTTTGGCCTGGCTGCCTGCTATCTGGGCCCCATGATCCCCTTCCTTGGGCATGGACTCCTGGGCTATTGCCAGGCCCTGCATATTTCCAGTCTAGTCCCATCTCCACATGCCCTGGCCTCTCTCTGTCTAGTCCTACCATCTTCTTCCTCCTCACACCAGCCCCTGCTCCCCTGCTACTCAGGAGCCCCAGCATGTCTTCCGGTTAATGGGCCTGTGCTGGGACAGCAGTCACAGAGCACAATTTTGAGGTCAGGACATCTTGCTCCCAGCCTCACTAAGTTCTGGCTGTGTGAGTCACTTCTTCGTCTATACCATGGGGATAGTAAGAACCGTTTTTGTGCCTGTTTGCTGTGCCACTGAGCCAGCCGGTCACTCCCACGCCTGGCCCAAAGGCATGGCGGGACTCAGGCCTGAGCAGCAGGGTGACTCAAGACCACATGTCCGCCCGGCTCCCACCCACAATTCAGTAACTTGGAGGCGGGAGGAAGACAAGCCTCAGCCTGAAATGATGGCCTCACCTGTCAAAGAGGGCCTCAGTCTTCCCCAGCAACAGCCGCCAGCCAGCTGATCCACTGCCCAGCTGTACCCTACTGCTCCTCCAACTGAGAGCGAACTCCGGACACAGCCTGGAGTGGAGCAGAGGCACAGGCCCCTGTCACCAGACTGAGGCCTCAATGCTGGTGCTGCTACCTTCAAGCTTTTGTCACTTCGGCCAAGTCTTGCTAGGAACCTCTTTTCTCATCTCTAAAATGAGAGTCCTCCCAGGACTATTGTGAGGATTAAAGAAGCCTCAGTAGTAAATGTAAAACTGTCTAGAATGCAGTTGCTTATTCCCTGCTGTCAAGTCAAAACCGACTTATAGCTGAGTCTCTAAGAGGTTTCCAAGGTAAATCACATGGGAGGAGAGGGCTCGCCTTGCTCCTACAGAGCCAAGGTGGAATCGAACTGTCAGAGGTGCCATCTCTGGATTAGCAGCTCCTTACGTGCTGGCTGCACCACCAGGCTTCCCTTTAATTATACTAAATTCTCAAAAATCCTCAGTGTTTGCTTTTTTTCCTGCCCCTTTTTACTTTCTCTTTGGCTGCTTCCTGGGCAATCTGTTGTGATATCAAACGTCGTACCCAGCACTTGGCATGGGCCTCAGATCCCACACTCTCCAGCTCTGACCCCTGTTTGACATTCAAGGCTTCAGTCAGAACCTACCTGCCTATCAGGGGCAGAAGACACCATGTAGAAATCCAGAAACCCAGGATACTAGGCCAAATGTCCTCTGACCTAAGCCCGAACCACTTCTCTCCTCAAAGCCTGAGCTTGAAAAATGGGTACATACTTACGCTGCAAAAAAAGTGCTGAGAGCCTGGACCCTGGGCCAGCCTGACTGGGTTTGAATCCTGGCTCACAACTTCTAGCTGCAGGATTATGAGTAAGGTTAACCTCTAGTTCCACATCCTTATTAAAGGTGATATAGCATTATGCTGACTGAACTAATTCAGTCTCATAAGGACAAATTCTGCATAAGACCATTATTGTAAAAATAGAAGGATAACTAATAAAACATGTGTGGGAACCCAAGGGGAGAAGGAGTGGGAGCAAGGGGTGAGGATGGGTAGGGACAAAACCACAAAGTTGCACAGTTTGGGGGGTGGAGGGGAGAAGGGGGGAAATGGGAAGGATCCAGGTGAAAAAACAGGGAATGATGGACAAGGTCAAATGGTGATGAAGTTTATAAAACA